CCCTCCCCTCCCGCGCTAGCCTAAGGGCCACCTTAGCAAAGCGCATCCCAGGCTGCATAGCCGCACTACCCTACCCAACCATACCACACATAAACATGACACTACCCCCGGGGTTTACACAGACGAGCCGGCGAAGCAAGAAGAGCGCCAGAAGAAAGGGCCCTAGCCGGCGGGGCCCAGCCAGGACAAAAGGAGGTCCCACAAAGCGCCTACACCGGCCGCATTTGCGGTCGGGGTAGACGACGGATGGGGCCCACCTACGAAGGCTGTCCAGGCCTACACGAAATGAGGCAGGATAAAGAGGGATAATCCTCCTCGATCCCAAATCATTGAGGCCAATTTCTTGCCATGGAATAATGGCGCGCGCGCTCTATAAGCCAGTCCAGGTGGTCTATGCATATGAGTATATTTATTTATCTGACAGGGATGTTATGAGTGAGTCGCCATCTGGTGGTTCCCTTGTTCCCTATTTAAGTTTGACTGGTTGTCTAACTATTTATATATAAACAAGGGTTCCACACACAGAGTTCCACATATCGTGATCCCTGTCATCTAGGAGGAATTGTCTAGAACCAAGGCTGCAGTTTATATCTGAGATTAGTTAGGGACGTCCTTCGTTTGAGATTGTAATTGCAATATCTCATTGAGATATTATAGTCAACGTATCATATGACGATTGTATCCGAGGAATTTCTGATAATTTAGTGGATTTAATGGACGTTATGTTATCTCTAATTTGACTCAATTTTAAACCACTAATTTTTAGGTACAAATATTTAACACTAAACACATACACTTGACAATGTATTCTTAGGTGATGCTCTTATCTAGTTACACAAATTTCCGTTGTTTTCAAATAACAATATCTGGCGCCATCTAATGGAAAAGTTAACAATTTAATGTATGCCATTACAAAGAACTGTAAACGTTATTAGTTTGGCGGGAATTCGCCGATTTGTACTATTTGTGGGATTCTCGTCATTTTATTATATTTGCCGATTAGCGCCTATATTTTCTTAAATATTTATCATAGGATTAATTTAAATTTCTTATTTGTTTCCGTAATTTTTCAGCTGTTTCCAAGTAAACAGATAAAAAAAAACATTAATCTTTTATCAGAGATTATGTCAATAACGCCGAGTATTTTTAGCAACATTAATTAAAAATACTTTAGAACAGATTTATTACATTTATTTTACATTAGTTGATTAAAGAAAAATAAAATAATTATAGAATATTTGAATAAGATACCTCATGTCAAGGGAAATAAAACATACACAAAAATAATTATAAATGTTTCAGACTTTTATTTCTTTTGATTAGTTATAACATATTTTTGGATATGCTATTTTGTACTCTCGGTAAAAATAAATAACAAACACTTCAATTTATACAAAGAAAGGTTTCTTCTCTGGCCTCGGTCTACTAATATGAGTCACATCTGAAACAGAAATAATGAAATAAGTAACTAATTTTTGTTAAATAGCTAAGGTTTTGATTACACAGGGAAGAGGAAGAAGAGTACAAACATTAGACAGACATTCGTAAGTTATATGAAGGTGCAAGATATAGCTCTCAAAATTTTTGCCCATCTACTTTTCACCCTTTAGAGTTTCAAAACAGTGTTTTTTTTTAACCTTATATTTCAGAAACGACACATTTCCAAAGAACCCCGCACAAAAACAAAGGAAAATGGGCCCGGTAGATTTTGCTGAAATTGCAGTATGTTATAGTTTTTGACTTTCTGATCAAAAGTTGTCATGGGCTCAAAGTGATCCTATGAATAGTTTCAGAGATAAAGAAGGGGGAAGTATGTGATTCTGTCTGTATGCCTGAGTAAGCTTCAGGAAGTTTCAAGTTGATGGATTCAAAAACTGAGGCATATAATGAATTTTGGTCAGTAGGTACAATGCTTTTGGGATCACTGAACCTGAATTCGGGGATAGCTTAGCTCTCTAAGGTCACCTGGAGGTCAGGTAAAGGCCGTTTCAAGGTCAAACTGAAGAAAATACTTGTATTATCAAGGTCAAAGTAAAGAAAATGCCTTTCACAAATGTTAACCTGTAAGTATGTATGCTTTTGAGGTCGCTGAAACTTAATTCGGGCTCTAAAAGCATTGTACCTACTGGTCAAAATTCATTACATGCCTCAGTTTTTGAATCCATCAACTTGAAACCTTGTGAAGCATACTCAGGCCTACAGCAAAAATCACATACTTCCCCCCTCTTTATCTCTAAAACTATTCATAGGATCACTTTGGGCCCATGACATCTTTTGATCAGAAAGTAAAAAAACTATAACATACTGCAATTTCAGCAAAATGGACTGGGATCCATTTTCCTTTGATTTTGTGCGGGGTTCTTTTGTTTGTACATTTCCTCCTGGGGCACCCTGTATAGCAAATCAGATCCGGTTTGATTACGATTACTTCGAAATAGCATCAAGGTAACAGTCCTATTTTTTTATCTATGTAGATGAATGAATGGAATTGTTTTAGCACCTAGCAGATAAATATTAAAAATGAGTCATAACTGGATTCCTATGTTGCTTTACAATAAATTATAAATAAGTATACATAGAAGATGTAACAGCGATGTTGTAACAAAGTTTGACCGATCAAAAATTGTGTTTCTGATCCTTCTTTGAAAAGCCCTTAGGAATTGTTATAGGAAAACATGTTAGGTGCTCTTGTATTATTTTGTTACTCCCTGTAACAGGGTAGTCTGAAAGACTAATGTATAAAAAAAATAAGATGATAGAACATCAAACACAATTTTGTTTCTAACGTCTTGTATTTTTGAGATGAAAATGGTCAATGACGATTTTTAAACTTAAACTTTAGCAACTTATATCTTCCAAAAAAGAATATACAGGGTGTCTCACCACGAACTCCACCAATGGATATCTGGGAAACTGTCTAAGAATTTTTTTGAAATTGTGATGGTGTGGCCGTGGGTTCAAGGTCATCGTACTACCGAAAACATACAGCACGGTTCAAACTTAGGATTGATCGTTTCCGAGATATTTTCATTTTTAGGCAAAAATTGACAGATGCGGACAGTGAGCAAAATTTAGTTTTCCCGGAAATACAGGTTTATTTTTTTGTGCGAATTGGACATTTTGTAGAGAAAGACGTAATTTCTCGGATTTGAGGTGAAAATTTTCCAGTTTTTATACAAGGTGATCAAATGATCGCATATGACGTAGAGAAAATATGGAAAACTCAAAATTTTTAAATGGAAACCCCCAATTTTTTTAACGTATTCGCATTCTGCACTAAAATTGAATGTAACTTTGGTAAAGTTTCCCTATACCTAAACCCAGTCGTTATCGTTTTATTTATGAATAAACATTTCCCTTTTCCTGAAATAGTGTATCCCGTTTTTTTCGCACATTTTGGGTTGGCCGTGCCAATTGTCTTGATAATTTCACATTATAAATCTATGTGGGTTAAATACGTTAAAAAAACGGGCAGTTGCCATTTAAAAATTTCGAGTTTTCCCACATTTTCTGAACTTCATATTTGATTATTTTTGGCCACCTTGTATAAAAACTGGAAAATTTTCATCTCAAATCCGAGAAATTACGTCTTTCTCTATAAAATGTCCAATTCGCACAAAAAAGTAAATCTGTGTTTCTGGGAAAACTAAATTTTGACAGTCTGCATCTGCCAGTTTTTGCCTAAAAATCAAAATATCTCGGAATAGAAATGGTCAATCCTAAGTATGGAGTGTGCTACATGCTTTCAACTTAAAAATGCAATAATAAACAGGGAGTTTCATTTAAAATAAGAAAGTTGGTAGCGACTTTCGGTATAGCCGGAAATACGATGATCTTGAAAATATTTCAGCTTGGTAGGCCCCACGGCCCCTATCACACCACTACAATTTCAGAAAAGTGGTTTCCCAGATATCCATCGATGGAGTTCGTGGTGAGACACCCTGTATTATATTGAAATTCAGTTCCGATAAGCTTTCAAAGATGTTAAATCCACTGTCCATTGACAACTGTCATTATTTTTTGACCATCTGCTGGCTAGCCACTGTCTCCTCCAATCAGTGATTCCCATATAGTGGGAAAATGGCGTTCTGGTTTGTAGAAAATCGGATAAGATCGGATATGTATTCTCTAGGATGAAATATAAATGTTTAAAATTCGATCCAAAACTTAAAGATGACAGTTGCACATATTTTGTAGTAGAAAACATATTAGTGAACATATAAAAAATGTTGACACAAACGAGTTATACAGTTTTGTCGTCATATTTATTTGCCAAAAATGTTTTTTAATGTACTATATAGGTAGTTAGCAATGTTTTTAGTTAATACGAAAGCGCAATTTTTTCTTTATCAAGCCAAAACTGCTATTTTTGTCTCTTCAGGCAAAAATTAAGGTGTCGAATTTATTTTTTCCTTAATTAAAAAACTAAATTGATAAAAATGCATGAACATTCTTTTTCAAATTTTCAGTGGAATATTTGTTGTACAAACCCAAATATATTTAAAAAAAAAACTTGAAGTACAATATAGAGTGAAGTAAATATATCTATTTTTTAAATAAATTATTTTATAAAATAAGTTTTCATTAATTTCAAATTCCAGGTACTTTTTATAAACTCTTTTGTTCTCAGAAAAAATATGTATGTTTTTTTTTCATTTGTTTAGGTGTATACTTACACCATATTTTCTTTTGAATATTATTATTATTATTATTATTATTATCATTATCATTATCATTATCATTATCATTACCATTACCATTACCATTACTATTATTATTATTATTATTATTATTTTGTAGAAACTCATTGTATAAACCGTTATAAAGGCCCTTCCAATTTGAATATTAGACCGAGTAGTTTTAATATTTTATTTACAAATACGTGAAGGGAAAACCTGAGAATTTTTATCATTCCTTGAGGGGGAAAGGGGAGATTCAATATGTGATATCCTGTAAAAAACCTAACCTCAAAAAGTTACGTCATAAAATGTAGAAATAATAACTAGCGACCTCTAGCAGATGGTCTAAAACTAACAGAAGACATATTTAACACCCTCAATAATTTGTATCAAATTTCAAAGTGATATATTAAAAAGTGTCAAAAATTTGTAAACAAAAACCACAAGTCCATGGTCCATGAGAAAAATCATCTTATTTTTTTTATTGTTCTATCACCCCCTAATCTTTTACACTCATTTCTACTCTCTTTTTCATGTATACGTAAGGGTAAGTACAAGTAAAACTTACCTTCGCATTCTTCTTCCCAGTCATAGCCGTCAACCACTAAAGGTTGTAACAAATTTTTAAAATCCTTATACTCGCAGTTCAATCCATGCTCTCCTAATCTCATCCTTTCAACTTGCGTTTCGGACTTCTTGTAGAACAAATTAATGTAGTAGACGCCATCGCAATTTTTTCTCATTTCCCAAATCAACGTAGCCCCGAAATTAGGCGGGGAAAAATCATAGGCGTCCACGCAGTTCAAAATGGAGACTATCGTCGTATCGTGGGCTGACAACATCAAGAATTTGGGAGTGCCATCGACGTTATTGACTACGTTGTCGAAATGGGCGAGGAGATTGGACCAAAAAGGTCCCGTGAGGAGCCTTTTCAAGGCCGGTGTCAAGGTGGACCTTTGGTGATTTATCGCAGCTAGATACTCTAGTACTTTATTGTCCAAAAACTTAGACCAAGGTGGTATGAAAGACCTGTTATAGCTGGAATAAACGTCCAAATTGGTCTGGAGTTTTGCTACGTGGCTTATGTCCACATCACCCCAACCGGTGTACCTCGCGACGCAGTTGAAGAAGTCGTAGAATTTAGACGTGATTTTTTTCACGTAGTCGGAAATCATGGTTTTCTCGAACAGGTTGATATATTTCTGGCACTTTTTTCTCATCGAGAGCACCTCGTCTTTGTCAATGGGTACCGTGTGTACTGGTATGGGTTGCCATTGTAGGTCCTTGTTCCATAACAAAGAACCTTTGGGTGGAAAAAGACCTGCCAGTACGGCATACGCTGACATCAGACAGCGGTCCCGATCTGTGGATCGGACATATATGTCTTTTGGGGAATATTCTTCTTGTAGGAAGGAACCGTAGCGCTTTCGCAACCATTTGCCTAGTTCGTACATCCTTTTTTTGCCCGCCTAAAAGATATTTATAGATCAAAGTTTGTTATTAAAAATTAAAACTAGTTACCATGGAATTAATTCGTACTTTTATCTTGAAGGTATTAAATTAAAAATAGTACTGTTTCCAAATATTTAAACCTACAAAGAAATTATTTTCAATCTCATCTTTAACAGTTACATCATTTTGGAAAAGGATCAACACGGAATATAGCTACGATGAGTGGATTCGCTTTTTCTAGTGGCGTCCTTTTAAAATTATACAGGGTGATCAATTTAAAAGGGATTCTTCTGTAACTCTGCAACTGTAAAATTTATAGAAAAATAGTGTTAATAAAAGTTTTCTGAAATCATGTAGTAGCTTTACAGGGTGTTCCATTCCGCGTAAGCGCTACATAACTTTTATTTTAAATGGAACACCCTATATATTATCGCATTTTTGAATTCCTTGGTCAATATTAGGTAGAGTTTATTAAATGTACATGGTGTTTAAACTTACCGTTTTCAAAATAATCAGTCTTTGAAAAAAATCACAATTTCAGCTCTCTAAATGAGCCTAGATTGCGTCTAAACTGTAAGAGTTAGAAATTTGCAGTTTTTACAGTTCGTTTTGACATAAATTACTCTATCTTGTCATCTGTGAGCAAAACGTGTACGTTATTCAGACTCGGAAATACTGCTACCTACATTTAATAATCTTACGAGTTGAAAAACCTTGTTTTTCAAGTGGAATAACCCATATTAATTGTCATGGGTGAATGCAAAATTGAATGCCTTTTCGACTGATATAAGGTTATCCATACTTATCTTTAACAGTTTTCCAGTAAAATCAGGTTCTTTTTTAAAATCCGAAAAAGTAGCTATGTAACAGCGTCAAGAAGGCCTTGCAAAACCACTTTTCTCTCACATTTTATCAGGCCTGGGACTGACAGTGTCAATATTTACTGGCATCCTTAAAAAGTGGTTTGACAAACAAAGGTAAACCACTAACAACAACTAAAACAAAACGCAAAATGAAACAAACTGAAACTTAGAACACAACAAAGAGAAGAATATTTAGACCGCTGATTTACATCAATAATTCATTCAACATTAATCAGCATGTTTGGCGTAATTTCTTGAAATGCTGCTGTAATGCGCTGCCACATATCTTCCGCGGTCGTAAACTTTGCTTTTTATAAATCCCCATAAAAAGAAGTCGCACTTGTCATATCTGGACACCTTGAAAGACAACTCACTGGTCCCCCGCGCCCAATCCATCTGCTAGGGAAAAGTTTCGTGTAAAAACTGACGAACCGCAGCGGTATTGTGAGGTGGAGCACCATCATGTTGCATGCTTCGAAATGTAGCTAAAGGAATGTCACAAATCTTCTGGAGTGTTTATTAAAAAGTTTAAATAAACTGCTCCAGTTAGATGCTGGTCAAAAAAGAATGGTCCTATGAGATGGGTTCCCAAAATTGCTCCTTGCTCCCCACACGTTTAAAGACCATCGTTGGCTACGAGTTGTCCGGAATTAGTGAGAAGTTACTGCGTCATAATAATGGCAATTATGACTATTAACGAAAGCATTTTTATGAAAAGTAGCCTCATCGGAGAAAAAAATCATTATCTTGATTTAACATCTCAAGTGCCCACTGACAAAACTCCAGTCAACATTGAAAGTCTACTTTTAGTAACTCTTGGTGTAATTGGATGCGATAAGAATATGCTGTACTGTGCTTTTGTAAAATCCAATGTATAGACGTTGTTCTAATACAATTGCAAGGCCTTCTTGACGCTGTTACATAGCTACTTTTTCGGACTTTAAAACAAACCTGATTTTTCTGGAAAACTGTTAGAGGTAAGTAAGGACAACCTCAGTCGAAAAGGCATTCAATTTTGGATTCACCCATGACAATTAATATAGGTCATTCCATTTGAAAAAAAAGAGTTTTTCAACTCATAAAGATTATTATTAAATGTACCTAGGTCTCAGTATTTCCGAGTCTGAATAACGTACACGTTTTGCTCACAGATAACAAGATATAGGAATTTATGCGAAAACGAACTGTGAAAACTGCAAGTTTCTAAATCTTACCGTTCAGACGCTAACTAGCCTCATTTAGAGAGCTGAAATTGTGATTTTTTTTTTCAAAAACAACTGATTATCTCGAATACGGTAAGTTTTAAACACCATGTACGTTTAATGAACTCTACCTAATATTAACCCAGAAATTCAAAAACGCATTAATATACAAAGTCTTCCTTTTAAAATAACAAAGTTATGTATCGCCCACGCAGAATGGAACACCCTGTAAAGCTAAAAATATTTTCTTTACATGGCCCACATGATTCCAGGCAACTTTTATTAAAACCATTTTTTTATAAATCTTACAGTTATAGAGTTACAGAAGAATCCCTCTTAGATGGAACACCCTGTATATAAAACACAAAACTTTAAATAAATCAATATATTTTAGAATTTTAGGACATTTTTTAAAGTTAATTTAAAGCGTAACATCTTTGAATTAAAAGTTAATAATAAAATATGTATAACGAAAAAAGCAAATATTTATTTAACAAAATAATCAACATTTCAAAAGACGACAAAATGCAAAACATGTTTTTTTATATTTAGTACTGAAACACTGGAAAATTGTTAGTACACAAAGTATATTCAAAGATAGCTAAACCATACATACCCAGTCTACAGTTGAATTTATCTTAGGTGTGTCTGATAAATGTATTTTATTTAATTAAGGATACTCAGGTATTAACTTCCATGTTTACATAAAGCTTTAAGTCAACATAAGGTACTAATCAATGGCATAGAACCACCGTCATATGATTTTAAAAAAATAAATAAAACCTTTTATTGCACATAAAATAAAATCCATTTTTTCTCCACCAGAAATTATGTAAAAAAATATCACAACACAAATTTAGATAAATATAGGATGGCCGCTGAAGTTGCCAGACCATAAGGGTAGTTGCTAAAGAGTAAATTACATTGTTGCAATATTATATTATTAATTACATAATTAGCACCTTAGATGGGATTTGAAAAACATTGTTGATTGTCAGTTTGTTAATTGACATCATTAACAGTTGGTTCTTTTTTTCTTTTTGCGTCATTTCATGCCTTCGATTTATTCAAATGAAGAATACGCGAACATGACTTTCGTGTATGGATATGGCAATGGTAGTATCACCGCTTCAGTTAGGGAGTATCAACGACGATGTCCAAATCGCCGTCTTCAAGACAAGCAAACATACAATAGAACCTTCACAACTCTTCGATTATCAGGTGCGTTCCCTAAACCGACTTGTGAAAGAGAAGTTATGTGAAGAAACAATGCTACAGAAGTGCTTGAGCTTGTTGAAGATGATCCTAGTACTAGTACGAGAAGAATTTCTGTACTTATTGAACAAACTTGGGAGAAAGCGGACTGCATCCTTATCATTATCAACCGGTACAAGAACTTTCCACGGATCTTCCCCAAAGAGTTCGTCTTTATGAATGGTGGAGCAATCAACTTGATACTCTTTGAAAACTCCTTTTCTGTGACAAAGCTACATTTACATGAGATAGAATCAACAATTTCCACAACCAACAAGTGGGGACAATCGAAAACCCTCATGATATTCGAGAAACCCATTTTCAGGGAAGATTCTCCGTAAACGTTTGGACTGGAATGATTAATAATGAAGTTATCGAACCATATTTTTTCGACGGAAATTTGAAGCGAGATGTACGGGGCTTTTTTGGAGAACTGTCTACCTCTACTACTTCAGGACATTCCTCATTCCATATTATAGTCCGGTAGACAGCGACACTATTGATGTAATTATTCCTACAAAGCTGATTTTTTCTCATTTTGTTGTTTTGATATCGCAAGTAAAGGGAACGACGGTCTACCGCGCCAATGTGGGGGCAAACATTATTAACAATTTTTGAAACATGTAAATGTCTTATACCTACAAGTGTGAAACTTTTTTGAGTGATCAATTATACCAAAAAATACAGTATAATGATAGTCTACCGCGTCGGAAGCGGGGCCATCAAGAGTCTACCACTCACGGAAGGTGTTGAAAAATTAACTTTTTTGACTTATTTCTACAAGGCTGAATTTTTTTTTCTCAAACACTTTAGTTTATAAGAGAACCAAAGAAAACAGTCTACCGATCATCTAAGGGTGCAAAGCCTTGANAATTTCTGTACTTATTGAACAAACTTGGGAGAAAGCGGACTGCATCCTTATCATTATCAACCGGTACAAGAACTTTCCACGGATCTTCCCCAAAGAGTTCGTCTTTATGAATGGTGGAGCAATCAACTTGATACTCTTTGAAAACTCCTTTTCTGTGACACAGCTACATTTACATGAGATGGAATCAACAATTTCCACAACCAACAAATGGGGACAATCGAAAACCCTCATGCTATTCGAGAAACCCATTTTCAGGGAAGTAATCGGACCATATTTTTTCGACGGAAATTTGAAGCGAGATGTACGGGGCTTTTTTTGGAGAACTGTCTACCTCTACTACTTCAGGACATTCCTCACTCCATCCCATTATGGAAGAGCCGTTACTAATTTCCTCAATGAAAAGTATCCAAATCGAAGTGGTGGTACCATTGCTTTGCCACCGCGATCTCCGGATCTTCAACCCTGTGGGAACTTAGGAAGACACTTACCTATTCAATGAGAAAGCCTAATGGCAGGGACCAACTCATTGAGAAGATTCATACAGCGTTTGATGTGGAGAAAAACGATATGGAGAACTACAACTGAACACAGGAGCTCCCAAAGAGAATTGAGTTATGCATTGCACAAGGCGGTGGTAGCTTTAATAATTGCGCTCTTTTCGCTTTTATTGAAATAAACTACATTTTTTTCTAAGCCTTCTAGTCGCAACAACGTAATTTACTTTTTAGCAAATAGCCATACGACCTGGCAACTTCAAATCCCGATACTTCAAGAACCATTGGGAATTATGGAAAAGCGAATAGAATCATTTTTGCTTAAAGTAGTCA